CATGCGAAAACATGTGTGGTTGGCACTGGGTGATGCCAACGAGGAACCTCACAATTCAATCATTGCCTCCTTTTTTACGGCTCATGGCGGTACCTTGGTTCCTGGACAAAACACCAGCACAAGATGGAACGGTCGACGGATCATTGATTGGGCTTTCCAAAGTCGCCCAGTCGTAGCTTCCACTTGGGTTAATTCGGATGTGAAATTTTCCGACCATAAAGGGGTTTGGTTTGAACTTTGCTTTGAGGGTCGTGACAACAGAAGAGGTCGTTTGAAGCCGGCTGCTGTTTGGAAAAAACCTGATGGGCTTTCTTCTGAAAAGTGGCAGGAAGCCCTTGATTCCACTTGGGATTCTCTCTGGGATGCTGATGATATTTTTCTCCAGCTCAAAAATTTAATTAATGTCAACTCTCCTGATATTTGCACCCTGCAACAAACTTGGGATACATACATGCTTGCTCTCAATAAGGTCTATCGCACTGCCATTGTTGGCATTCATGCTCAGGCTGACGGTGAGATGGAAAGACAAACCCGGACCATGTTGAGACAATCAGGTCAGAATCAAAAAGGTGCTGTTGCCAAGCATCAGTTTGTCACTTCGGCAACTCGTTTGGCAGGTAACCCGGCCGCAGGTGAATCCCTGCGCAAGCTGCGTAGGAACTTGGCCAGATTTCATGAGGTGGTACGTCAGGTTCAACGTCACGGGCACGCTGATCCCGCTCTTCTTAGACGGCTCTGGCCTGAAGAAGCTGCAAACATATCGCCTCATGATGCCCTGTTTCGAGCACAAGAGAGCATTCAAAATTTGCAGATGAAACGAACCAGAGAAGAGTCTAAGCAAAAAAATGACAACATTCGCTATTGGAAATCACAGATGACTGCGGGTTCTTTCAGGCCTCTTAGCTGGTGGCTTCAAAACAAAGTGTCTATTTTTGAAAATGTCAGTGTTGGTTCTACCACCACTCCCCGAGAGGCTGCACAGGCCATTGCTGATTATTGGAAATCGGTTTGGGCTGATCAAAATGTCCCCGCTGAGATGGCGGCCGCCACTTTGGCTCAGGATTTTGGACCTACCGAAAATGTTGTGTGGGAAACCATTACTGTTGCTGACCTTTGGCAGGCGGTACGCAAATCCAAGGGCTCTTCTGGCCCTGATCAGTGGTCAGGTCATGAACTCCAGTTCCTGCCGCTGAAAGCTATCGAAACTTGGCATAGCATTATAGTGCGTCAATGGTTCTCTGTCAAGAAACTGCCTTCGCAGTTAAAAGAGGCAAAGCAGATCAGTTTGCCCAAGCCGGGTAAATCTCACCTTGGGCGCGTAAAGCCCGAACACACGAGACCCATTACGGTCATGAGCATTTTTTGGAGATGTTTTGCTTCTGCCCTTCTTCAATCTAATTCTGTTCAAACATGGCATAAGCTCAATTTGCATGAAAGCGTCTGCTATGGGCGGGGTGCGTTTGGGGCAGAACTCATTGCGCACACGCTCCAGGACCGTTTGGCCAAACACCATGGTTTTTTAGCAACTATGGACTTCAAACAAGCGTATGACCGAATGCGCCCTGAGGTTAGTACTTTGCTTCTTAAGCGTTTGAACTGGCCTGTTGAGATTTGCGATCTTCTCTATGAAGCCTGGGGCCAACAACACCGTTGGATCAGCTGGGAAAATGAAACGTTGCCTTTTCCAGTTCACGCCCCTGCCACACCGCAGGGATGTCCCCTTGCGCCTCTCCTGTTGGCAGTGTGGACAAGTGCAGGTGCTAGGGCCACTCATGATGACCGGTGCACTTTGAAAGTGTACATGGACGACAGAACCTTGCATACCTGTTGTTGGGACGCTGTGATGTCCCAGATTTCCAGGTGGGAAGCTTGGAGCTTAAGCGTTGGCCTTAAGGAAGGTCCTGAAAAGACCAAAGTGATTGCCAAAGGGAAAAAACACCTCGATTTACTGGCCAAGGGGCCTCAAAGTTGGATTGAAACTGACATGCGCATGCTAGGTGCTGTAACTGTAAGTCGCAAACGTGCTTACCATCAGGTTGAGAAGGACAGAATTGACAAAGCTCATTTGAGGGCTGTTCTCTTCAGAAGTGTGGGTCTCCCTTGGGAGCGAGCCTTAGAAGCATACAAACTGTTCGTCCTCTCTGTGCTCAACTATGGTTGGCTTGCCCAACCTCCCACGCAGGCCACGGCTGACAAGTTCTTTTCCTTGTTTAACCAGGCCACTCATAATACTGCCCGTATGGCATCCCCTGTCCTCCGTAAGGTCGTCTATGGGGCTAAGTTTTACCTTCTTGCTGTTATCTTACAACGCCTCTGGGTTCGTACGGTTAAGCTTTTCCACGCTGGCTTGATCACTTGGAATGGTTGTTTTGGTTCTTCCATTGCTTGGCTTCGCAAGTCTCTTCAGAAACTTGGGTGGACGGAAAGATCCCCTCATGTTTGGCAATCTAAACATGGTATCATTTCTTTGGATCCCCCTGTTGACTGTTTGGGTGAGTCCCTTCACTTCATTAGAAATTCCTGGCGTGAGCGCAGTTCCGTGCCTGGTTGTGCCAAAAACGACGAGAGCCTAGACAGTTCTTGTCTGATTATTCCGTTGAACAGATGGTTTCCTTTTTTGATGAAATTGATTTCCATGCTTTGCGTGTTGGCATTAAAGACAATGCTTGGCAGAGACATGTTGCCTTGGGGGCGACTGTTTCCCCTGCTGCCTTGGCCAAGATGAAACAAGATAATGAGCTGGGTTGCCCTTTTTGCTCTTGCTCTGTTGCTACCTGGGAGCACATGGCTTGGTTTTGTCCTCAATTTGAGAACAGGCCTGTTAAGCCTCAAAACCCCCTCACGGCTAGGTTTGGTTGGCCGACTCTTAATGGTGACACTAGTGTCTTAAAGTATCTTGCTAAAGTTGCTGCTACGGTTGTTGAATGTCGTTATACGGATTCACACGAAGCTGCATAGGAATGTAACCTGTTGTTCCAAGGACCTGGGATTCTAAGGACTCTGAGGTCACTTTTCCAGCTGCTCGCGTACCAAGGGCGGCAGCTGTGACAACTTCATTATTCCATCGCAGCATCCAGGGCCGCCTTTGCAGCGAGGCTAGCCAATGGAAAGGTGGTGACATGGGGTCCATGTCACTCAGCTGGCGACAGCAGCAACGTTCAAGAGAGGCTTGTTAATGTAAAGCAAGTCAAAGGCTCTTTGGCCGCTTTCGCTGCGCTCAGAGCAGATGGGACTATCGTTACTTGGGGCGATCCTGCTTATGGTGGTCTAAGTCAACATGTTCAGCCAGAACTGGTGGATGTTCAAAGCGTCGCTGCTTCAGATGGGGCTTTTGCTGCTCTCACTTCCTGGCTGCAATCCCTTGGCTGGGATGAAGTTGGAGCCTTTCATTGGAGACATTCTGATATTCAGGTAGACATCCAATGGTCGCATCCACTCAGTCCTGCGGAAGGAGAAAAAGAAAAACATCACATTCGTGAAACTTGGAGACGGCTCTTGTTCGATCAATTCCTTGCCAGTTCCCGCCGAGATTCCCAAGCTGTTGGCAACCCTGCCTATGATGAAGCTTGGATTACACGTGCCAGAAAATTGTTTCAGGAGGCAGACACGCACGGTCGTGCGGTCATGGTCGGTGCTGTTGTATCAGATGCCAGATACGACCGTATGAAGCGCCGTGAAATTGCACATTGTCAGTGGTGTCGTGATCCTGATGCCATCCCTGGATGGGTTCACCATGCTTGGGAATGCCCAGCTTTTGCTCAGGGGCGACCTCTGACTCCTGACAATGCTTTTCAGAAAATTCTAGGTTGGCCTGTTGGTCAATCCGCAGTTGACAGATCCGTGCTGGACCACTTGGCTCTTGTGAGGTCCCGTGTGTTGGATCAACGTTACAGAGGAACAGGGCTCTAGGGCCTCATACCTTGGTGTCAGTGTGCCACTCTTCGGGGTGTCGCCTGTGCGCCAATGCAATCTTTGATACTTTTGCTGCTCTCAAGAAAGACGGAAATGTTGTTACCTGGGGTCATCCTTTGCGCGGTGGTGACAGCAGTCTTGTTCAAGGTGAATTGGGATATGTCCTTCATATTTTCGCTTCCAAAGTTGCCTTTGCTGCATATCGTGCCGACAGGGAAATTGTGACCTGGACACGGGAAGGATATAAGCGGCAAATTCTGACAGATGGGCGCGGAGTTACCTATGTTTCGCCTGCAAGATGAGTCAGATGGGTGTGGGCAAGCCGCGCCATTTGCAGTAGACTCAAGAATTCGAGAAGGACCAACCGCCCCATGCATTGTATTTCAACTGGGGTGAGTGGTCTGGTAGGATGCCGGAGACGCATATCACATGATTATATATTGTCATTCCTGTCTAGGTTGTACAGTGTGGGCCCTGGTTCGACAAACCATAGTTCCCAATGGATCCCAATGGTAGGATTTTCTTGAGGCGATGGCAGGGCCAATGCTGAAAGGCACAGAAGCCAGCCCTCCATTTCCAAACAGCACCGGCTGGTGGCCATGTCTAGGTTGGATCAGGGTGACCAGCTGGTGTTCAAATAGTATTTCTGGTGGGCCTGGTGGGTGGTTTCGATCCTGGAGGATCCAAAATGACACTCCAGCATTGGGATGGATTGTGATGGGTTGAAACCACCAACCACCTAGTTTTGCTTCTGCGGAAGATTCAGATGGACAGTTGCGCCTTTCTTAGTGACCTGCGACCAGCGCAGTGTCCTGATTCGTCACATTTAGCTTTGTAGCTGGTGCAGTGGAAGGATTGCAGGGCCGCTGGGGCCGGGTGGACGCATTTGTTGAAAGCAAAAAAGGAAGGCCAAGGGGTTCCATATTTGGCATCTCGCCCGACTGAAGTATGTTCAAAGCATTAAGCTATGAACATAGCATGCATTCAACCAGACTAGTTCCACAATATTCCTCAGGGATGGTTGTTTGATTTGTTTTGCTGCATTTTGCCACGAGCAAGTTGCTGTTCACTGGTGCGTTGCTGCATAGGTCGCCCAAAAGATCCGCCACTCAAAAGCGAACAGCTTCTGAATCGCCGACCAGGCATGGAGCTGCACTTTCCAGGCTGACTCGCAAAATGGATGGCTGAAGACCTAATAACTTACGATTGAACAAAAACCATCTTTCACCCATACCAAGATTGGAGACTTGAACAGATATTTCAAGTATTTCAAGTCTGAGCCTGTAGCAGCCGAGATGCTGGAAGGATATTTCCAGCGTCGCCAGTCATAGAAACTTCGATTTCTTCCAATGGCGAATGTCAGCGGATGGAGCGAGGCATCAGGTTGGCCAGGCTGTTTTGCACGCAAGAATGCCAGCAATTTACCATGTACTGTAGTCCTACTCTTAGAGAAGCGGCTGTCAAAGTGAATATTAGTGGAAGTATATAGATATATATATCTCCATATATACGTATATATGTATGTATGTCCCCATATATATATATATATATATATATATTTGCATATATATATATATGTATATCAATATATATATATATATACATATTTGCATATATATATATATGTATATATAAATATATAGATAGATAGATGGATGGATGGATGGATGGATAGATAGATAGATAGATGTAAGTATTCTTGTCGCCTTGGATGCGTCATGGACTTCAGCTGTTTCAGTTTCCAAGCTTCCTGATGACTCCAGGCTCCAACGCGCGGCATGTTTGGTGAAAACCTCGGATCATGACTGGTTGTTGGGGGTGCATCCCACGTAGGATCCATGGTTATATAATCCATAACACATATGTCAACCCATATTTCCAGTGGGGATATTCCGGTAATTCCCAACAGCGAATCTGTTGGGTTTCAATCTCTCGGGCCGGGGACTGGTGACACGAAAATGCACGCCCCGAAAATCCAGGACAGTCCTGGAACCTTGCTGGAACCTTTCGCTGTTGGGTTGCAAAGCTGGGCTAATCTAACTGTTTTTCTTTCTCCTTCAAGTAGAAACCCATGGTTTCTGGGACATCCAAGGCTCGACTGCTGGAGGAGGCTGAGGCAGCAGCCTTGGAAGCTGTGAAGGCCGAGCCGGTTGTCATGGAGCTGAAACGCGATCTGAAACGACGGTGTAGCTGATGTAGCCAACAATTTTGGAGTTTTTTTTTACCCAAGAAAAATAGGGAAAACTTCGAGAAACACACATTGAAACAACATTTTTCTGGAGATCCTTCAGGATATTTCGACGGAGCACTTTTGTCAAGTTTTGTCCTTGGGAAAAGGCAGACAGTTGCATGGAATTTCCCGCTGCAGGGTGCCCAGACAAGCTTGTCATCACCGGAGGCTTTGCAAAACGGAAAGCGCTGGTTGGTTTTGGCGGATGTTTTTGCAGTAGAAAACGTCGCACAAGTGGTTCTTTACAGCTGTTTTTCCAATTTATTTCGGCGCTTTTTGGTTAAACACCCTGGTACTTTGCAGAGATGTTCTGGTTCTTTCCATGGAAGCCGGTCAGGTGCATGGAGACAGGTGGGGAGATGAGACCTGGTTGCTGGTCAGTGCCCTTAGCAAAAGTCACTGTGTTTGGTTCATCCCAGTGGCCCAGTTTTGGCCACGGTGATGGGATGAACCCAATCTGCGAGAAGAACGTTTTTAAATCAATCAGGTTTCCTAAAATAGTGGTACCCTCTGATAATTTAACATAGCTATTGAAAATGGCCATTTATAGTGGATTTTCCCATGGAAAATGGTGATTTTCCATAGCTACGTTAGTTTACTAGAGGGTACCACCAAATCACCCAAAACTAGACAATTTTCGTATTGAAACCTATGGTTTTGGGTACCCCCATTTTACGAAACCTCCAAATACGGGACTGCCCAGTTTGATCGGCCAAGGCAAAGACTCCTGGGGCCTTGGAAGTCCGAAGGAATGGACCAAAGGCCTCCATGGAAAATGGCACGTGAAAATTTGAAATTTATGTATACAGTATATGTGTATATATGTATATATGTACATATGTACATATGTACATATGTATGGATATATGGATATATATATATGGATATATGGATATATTGATCTACCCATCTAAAAGTGGTACATCCTTTGGCGTTTAGCATCTAAGTTGCTCCACCACTTTTGAAAATGAAACATGGTGACTGCAAGTTGGAATTTGATGATTTTGCTTGTAGCATGTGCACAAGCTGACACAAACCATTAGTTGGCATTTTTTTAATTTGAGGGTACAGCGTTTGGTGGGTGTGGCCAGGTGATCAAGGAACCAGTGACACGAAGTGCTCTTCTGTCAGCAAATTCCACGTTTCTCGCCCCGCCACTGTTTGAGTATGGTTCAACGGGTGCCATCTGTCTGTTGGGTTTGAAGCATGACCAGAAAATGTTTGTTTGAAGCAGGGAAAACCCTGATGATATTGATGACTTGATTGAGTGCGACTCTTCATCACATGCTGCCCTCTCAGGTTAACGACGTTTGCCAATGCTCGTAAAAAGATGCAACCTGCCAGATGACCCACTCAACAGTCTGGCCGCTTGATTTCAAGTGCTTCGGATATGAATGTGATGTGGCGATTGTTTGGCTCGAGCTGAAATTACATGCAAAAGGTGTGATTGGGAGCAGTGGTTGAAACCAAATAGTAATGTCAACCATATGTTGAAAATGCTTGAAGATGTTCCTTCAGATGGAGAGCGAGAAAGAGAGAGATCCAAACTTCCTGTAAACATTTCAAGGGGTTGTCCGGTGTCACTAGGCTGAAACCAGATAAATCCACTCCTTGAGTCAGTTGGCCTTTGGCCATATGAACAATTGTGCGGTGCTGGTGCGATGCCGGCATGAATGGCTTGCGGTTCCTGGTGGTCACGGCTTTTGATGTGAACTATGAGGTGGGCTTCCTCTGCTCGGTGGTCAATGAGGCCTACTGCCAGCGAAACAGCTACACCTTTCAGCGGGTGCTGCTTGGCGCAGAGGAGATGCGATGCTTGGCCGCTGGACGGCACCTGGCCTGGGCCAAAGTGGCGCTTCTTGAGGCGCTGGTCACGGGGAGCAGCTCAGCTCTGCTGGAGAAAGTGCTGAGGAAGGCAAGGGTGGTGGATTTTGACTACGTTGTTTGGATAGATGCAGATGCCATGGTTCTGGACCACTCCCTTCAGTTAGAGAACTTTGTTGAGGTGGCCGGGGGTGCTGACTTCATCATAGGAGAAGACATGGCGGATACGGACCTTCTAAATACCGGTCTGATGCTGTTTCGCCGCTCCTCTCCATGGTGTCAGGAGGTGTTGAAACGGTGGTGGAATGACAGTGACCAGCAATGGCATCACCAGGTCTGCTGGGACCAGACGGGCCTTTGTCGTTTGCTCTGCCAGGATGGTTTTGGCCTTGAGAAGCCCTGGTTCTCTTGGGCTGGGGGACTGCGCTACAAGCGGTGGAAGCAGGTTTTTGTATTGGATTGTGGCAGCTTCAACTTCAAGTACTTGAACAACTGCAGCTTCGTTTTCCATGCTGTTGGGGAACGGGAACTGCTACTTTCCTTTACGAAGCGACTCCTCCTGAAGAAGGATCGCTTGTACCTGGCAGTGCAGGATGGCTTCGTGGTGCATGGCCAGGATGCTGTCTCCCGCGAACATCTTGAAGCTTCCTTGGATCTCTTGGATGATGGCGAGGGGCCAAGTGCCAAGGCGAAGTTAGAGAATGCTTTGCATTTCTGGAGGCGTTTCGGAGTTGGAAAGAACAGCAAGAAGACTGAGGCTCCACCCTTGGGCTGGGGACTGCCCACTTGTGCCTGGCTGAGCGTTTGCCGGCAGCTGCCAGCTGACTCTGCTAGCCAATTGATGCTTGGGCCAATGAAAGTTGAATCTGCTTGCAATCAGCGAAGTCTCAACTTTTCCGACTTCGCCCGAACTTTCGGTGATCTGCCAGTGCGTTTGCTGCGACCTTCGAAGGAGTCCGCAGCTGCTTCTTTTGGTACGCGGCTCTGGCAACTTTGCAGCTACGTGTCTGGTGACTTGCCTCCCTTCGGTCCCTTAAGCTTCACCAGTGGAAAGCCATGGAGGCTTTGGAACTGGAGCCCCTGGGAGGGGCACATGGAGCTGCAGGAGCTCGCAGCATGGCGCTGCCGAGCCTTGGAGGCCGGCTACTGATCTGTGTGCACCTCTGAAGTTGATGCCATTGTGTATCTAAGCTGGTAACGGAACATTCCTTCTTGTTTGTAGGATATGTCATGAGGACATTTCTTTTTCATTCCTACTTTTCGAGAACTGGATGGTTTGAGCCCTTCATTTGCAGCTCTGGTTCCAGACCATGAATTGATACAACAGATGACCATGCCGCATGCCAGCGAACAAAGAAGACAGGAAACCACTGAAGCATACTGAAGCACAGCCGCTTGTCAGACGAAAAAGGCTTTGCACCCCAAAAGTTGGATGGTTAGATAGCAGGAAGTGTTGCATGTACATGCCCTCGGCTAGCACAGTTGTGGTCACCATCCGCATCTCCGTTTCACTGGCACCATGGACCAGCAGAGCATGGAAGTCCTGGAGCGCCGCGCCGCAGTGGAAGCCTTCACTCGCTCCATGTGTGATCCGCCGCCCATGGCCCGGCCGCGGGACACCGGCTGCGACCTGCGGCTGGCGCGGCGTCCGCGGATCCGGGCGCAGCGCTGTGGAGTGAAGCTGCTGGAAAGCAGCACCCCGCCCGGCTACGAGGAAACGGCACGTCAGAAACTCGCCGAGGCCGTGAGGTCCATCTGTGTTTCGGAGCTGCCACAAACGGGACTCTCGGCTCACAGTCTTGGGAAAAAGCGTGGCAGATTAAAAGGAAAGCGGGTCAGCCTTGTTGCAGTTAATTTTATATGCTGCAGGCCCGTATGTACATAGAATCCTTTGGTCCTAAATCCAAAGTTTCAAGGCAATTACCTAGATGAACTAGCTTGGCTCACACAGTACATGGGGGTCAGGTTTGTGCAGGTGGCATTCATGTGGCGCCACCCAGTCACTTCCTCTATCTGAGGCAGTCGCGAAGAACTCTATCGCCTAGTGGAGGCACTGTGCACATCAGGTCGCAGTCAGCAACTCGGCATGTTGGCTTGGGATGTCTCTTGAAGTGGAGATCCTTCATTTTCAAGTGAAAGGCAGCGCCTTTCCAGTTGAGCTGCTCGCATCCTTTGACTTCACTACCCCACATCAATGCATATAATGCACATGCACATGCCAAAACAACCAGGGGGAGAGGAAGATACTTGGAAGCTTAAAGAAACCAGTACATGACAACTTCTAACGCCATCTCCCGACAAATCCTCGAAGTCCAGGCATTACTCCTGTTTATTGTTCGCGTGATTTTATTTGTCCATTGATGTCAACAATCTGGATTCAACCCACGGCAGTTGATCTGATTCTGAAAACCTTGAAATCATGCTGATTGGTCAAACCTTCAGCCTTGATTCCGGGTTCGACGGGTATTCCAAAAATTCATGAATCCAAATTGATCCAAATTGATCAATTTTCCCCGTGGTTAATCATGGTTCATCATCATTTTTTCATGGGACGAGCCTCTGGCCTCGCAGGTTGGTCTTCACTGAGCTCTCCCAGCAGGTCGTCCGGCAGCTGGAGGAGCAACTCAGCGGCTGCAGTGCGGAGAGCGCGGCGGAGCGGCTTGAGCAGCTGGTGGCTGCCACTTGGATCCAGCGGTGAAGGGAGTTGGGGTATCCATATTTCCGACAAAATATTATTGGGAGCAGCTACTTAGAGTTTCCCAACCACATTATAGGAAGTAATTAATGTATATTAATGTAACTATATTATAAAATCATAATATGTAATGATATGCACATTTGTTCTTCTGGTTGTCAATTTCTAAGGTTCATGTTTTATCACTATCATAATCATTGTCACTACTTTGATTTTGTTACTTTGCATCGTCCATCCTGATTTGGAACGATATTGGCCCCCCCTATGGTGCGGAACATATCGAAGGCCGCAGAAGGAAAAGGTTCCTGGATGACCATAGTTGAGTGGTAAAGATTCCATGTTATCGGATCACTGAGATGCCAGGGTGCCAACTTGCCCTAGGTCTGGAGAAAAATGTGTCAGGCATTCCGACAGATCTCCAAGATCTACAGTTTTTTGGATGCCGCCTTCGTGCGACGTTTGGAGAATGACGTGCCAAGCTCAGGGTGGGGTGGGGCTTTGGAGCTGCCATCTTGCCTGGGATGGTCCTAACTGCTTTTCATGTTTTTTTCCGACTGTTATGGTTTATAAATAAATAAATGAATAAATAAATAAATATATATATGAAATTACATGTGTTCCTGATTCTTGTTGGCTGTTCCCAATGATATCCTCATTCTCAGCCAAAGATATTACTGTATCCCACTAATATAGCATATTATGCATATTTCATAAATACAGTATAATAATATACGTGAGCGCACACAAATAGATTACATAGAATATACCCACATTCTTCTCACCATTTCCGACATGTACCACGTATAGACCATCAACATCCACTAAGACAATGCGAGTCTACATCCCCATTCCTTTCCTTATATACCCACCAGATCCCCATTGTTCCCACCATTTCATAGTACCGTGCAAGGAAGGGGCCCGGAACAATAGGTAATTAGTTGGTTTATGTTATTTGGGGTTTATTATGTGTGTATATAATTGTATATATATATATCTCTCTCTCTCTCTCTATCTATAGTTCATATTAAACTACCAGAGGGTACCCCGAACCTATGAAATACCATCTTTTGGGGGGCAAATGAACATCCACAAAATCCCAGCTAACAGAAGAGAATTCCGTGGACGAAACTGACCATGGCCCCATGGCAGCAGACTTCCAGGTGCTGGACGACGTCTTCCGGCGCCACTTCCGCCGGAAGCTGGCGGCACTGCCGCAGCTGTGCAGCACGGCGGTGGAGGGGGCCTTGCAACTGGTGCAGGAAGAGAGGGATGGCAAGGCCAGCGGAAGACGTGTCCTTAAAAAAAAGGATTTTGATATGGTCTTAAGCTACTTGGAGGCCTTTAAGCATCAACCATGGCGGTTTGATGTGGCATTGCATGGTTTCAAAAAACAAAGCAATTTTTCCCGCTTCAACAGGCAATTTGGAGACAACCCATGGGATGGGAACGTGAATTACTTGAATGCCAAGATACGAAGAACTGCTAGGGATTGTCATGGCTCAGTCCAGGATTTTGACCCATGGACATCCCAGATGTCCAGAAATCAGCAGGTGTGTCAGTTATCGCGTCGTGGCCTTGAAACTTCCTGTGGGAAATCAGGCCATCGACCAACAGCTCTTCAAGTCGCTGATTGAGATGTTGCGGAGCCTGTCGTTCTACAAGGACTTTGAGTCCAAGTTCTTTGAGAGGACCACGGAGTTCTACCGCAAGGACAGCCAAGGCTGCAACTTGGAAAATGTTCCAACTGCATGTTTGACAGCCAGAACTCTCAACAGCTTGTAAGATTTTGTAAGTAAGTAATTGCCAACATTTGGCTAGATATCATGGCTTAATTGTGCCCCGTGCCCCCTATGTTGAGTGGCCATATCTCCCAATAAGATCCAAGAGGGTCACTCATGGTGACTTCAACAGGAGTCTGAAGCGTGGCTCCAAACGTGCTCTCTGGCAGACTATTTGCTCCTCTCTGAACAACATCTGTCCAAAGAGAAGCGACGGTGTGATCACTATGTGCTGGATCCTGCCACCCTTCAGATCCTTGAAGCGCGTTGCAGCAAGTAGTTTTTGTTGCGGAGGTCCGTTTTGTAAAATGTCGAGCTTCGGTCAACCCCTGGAGTTTCTGAGTGCGAATGCAAGTTTTCTTCCAGTTTTTTTCATGAAGAATCACGCATTTTTGCACCCAAAGATCTCAGGTTGTTATTCACGTCGCTTTGCGACGGCAACCGCCCGCACCGCATCGTTGGGCAGCCGCTCGTAACTGCCAATGATGTCGGCCATTGAGACCAAAAACATCCGAAAGTACTGATTGTCGGAAAAAAAACGCGAAGAATTTGATAGCCATGTATAGCGGACCAACGCAGTTCAAAAAATAACGAAAAACATGAAAAAACGGCGAAATTGCTGTTATTTACAGTGTTTTTGCGCGGTGAGAAGCAGAAACCACTGCAAATACCATGGTTTTTGAGGGTCAGGTGGCCAAAAACACTGTAATTTACAGTGTTTTTTTAACCAACGTCAAAAAACACTGGTATTTACGATGTTTTCATTCACACCGTAACATAAAACAGCGTAATTTACGAGGTTTTTGGAAGTTTTGAAGCTAGCCGTCAAGCATGCAGAAAACAGAAAAACACTGTAAAAACCAGTGTTTCTGCTATCACAAAACGACGAAAATCAGTCCGAAAACGGGTCCAAAAACTCAAAAATCCGCCTCCGGGCCCGGCCACCTGCGGAACCGCAAAAAAAGATGTTGCAAACCAAAAAATTGAGGTCAAAAAGTTGAAAAACACGGGTTTTTTTCACTTTTCGCTTGCCGATTTTGGACGGGCGCGTTCACGAACAGGTGTCTTCCGTACTGTTTTTTACAGTGTTTTTTGAAGGCGAGCGTCACGACCTATCAAAAACAGGAGGTTTTGGCCGAAAAATGCCCCCCCCCCCAGGTAAACCTGTAACCTTTTACGAGTGCCATCCGGAAGATCACGCCCCAGCACCTTCGGTGCGGGCGGATTTGTTGTTTGGCCCCTATGCTGGTGAGTGGTACTAGATTCACTAGATATGTTATGTTGGTTCATTGTTGCATAGTGGCATCGGTTCTGACTATCCACCCCAAGTGTGGTGAATGGCACCGGGAAATTTGTTTCACCCTACAGTAACTTTTGGAACCTTTTCAAGTAGCCCTAACTAGATTTTAGTAAAATCCCATCCGATAAAATAGGTAGGACAAAGACACAATTTGATCCTAAGATAGTATCAAATAGGAACGTCATTTACTTCTTGACAAAAGAAAACAACTGTTTTGGGGGGTTTACTGTGCAGTAAATTTCCACCATTGCTATTCATTGCATTTCATGGCTGGGGATTCAAACTGATTGGGGGGTTACCGGGGTTACCTCAAAAATTCCAACGTCATCCCCCCATTTTTTGACCAAGGCCGCTGCTGGAGGTGTTACGCCAAGAGATCTTGGCGCAGCATGCGCAGCGGCTGCTCAGCATGGGCTTTGCAGAGCTGGTGCAGGGCGTGGAGGTTCGCGCTGGTGGCGATGGGGTGATCCCTTCCCCGTTTATTTTTTGTGGGATAAAGTACGGCACCATTTTTTTCAGAGGATTTGGTTGAAACGAACTCCGGTCACTGACCAAATTGTTTGTTCCTCATCGATTTTTTCCAAATTCTTTCGAGTTTTTTTGGGGTGAAAGATAAAACACGAATTACTGATATTGACCAGTTACTTGCCAGCATGATTGGGTCACATCTTCATTATACACCCATGCGGGTATTGAGGACGTTGCCTCAATGCCTGTGAATGGCTTTGCGACACTGCCGAGTTTTAAAGTGACAGGTTGATCATCTTGCACGGCTGTACCAGCAGTACAAGGAGTTGATTCGGCTGGGGGGATGCCTCTGATTCTTATGATTCTTGGCTTGAACAAACCCAAATCAGTTCAAAACGTTCCCCTGGCTGAAGGACATCGGCGCGCTAGCTTTGGTTCGCAAAGCCTTCCACGACGCCATTTACAAGGCTGCCAGCATCGCCGTCGGAAAATTCGGAAAATGGCAGAAGGTAGCCAGAATTTGCGTCTGAGAATTGGGTGCCCTAAATCCATTGGCTGATCATCTGATCACCAATTTCAGTTTCATCTTTAAAGTGGCCATTTGGGGGGTCATACCTTTGGTTAAACTGAATCCCTAATTGCGTTTCAAGCGAGCAGCCTTCCCACACCAGGGCGGACTGCAAGTGCTACAAGGTGGTGATGATGCCAAAGTGGTGGTTCCCGAGCTGGTTAGATTCCTTTCATCCATGCAAGAGGCCGGGCTTTTAGTGCTAACGATGCTAGAATGACATGGGACATTGACATGTGTGATGTATCATCATTTGCCCGATGCATGTTCAATGGTGGGTTAAGCATTCTTCTTTCATCAGCCAACCAGTTTGATTTTGGGACATCTATGCTTGCTGCGGGTGACTCAAAAGTGGAAGATTAGAGACCTGACTCTTGCAAACTCAGTGCCCTTGAGGTGTTGCATGTGGCTTTTCTGGGTGACTGCAATTTGGCGATTGCACTCAAGGAGGCGTTTGAAGGACTGCCTTCAGCCCTTAGAAACAAAGTGGTATGGTGAACTGGAGAGCAGCTGCCCTGTGGATTTCAAGCTGCTACCCGGGTGAACGGCGCAGGTCCCATGGTACTGCCCTCAAGCCAGGGTGTGAATCCTGGGTGTGGCCAGGATTCCTCAATTCAGCAGCTCCCAATCAAGCGGCCAAGCTGTCACTCCCGGTTGCATTTTTTGGGCCGGTGCCAGAGGCTGGCAGTGCATAGGAAGAGAAAATAATATGTTTTGTTTTGTCAATTTTCCGTTCAATGAAGTACCAAGAGTGAAGGCATTGTGCCATACGAGGCAATATTCTTTGGGGGGTATTGCTTTCTACTGGGTAAGAACAAGAAGAGGGGAGGAACACAAAAGGTTTGTTGATGTTTGCTTCATGCGGCTCCTTGGGCCGCTGAAAAACACCATGCTGCTTGTGACAGGCCCTGTTGGTGTGTGTGTGTGTGGGTGGGTGGGTGTAGTTGTGTAACAAGGTTTGATTTCCCTTGTGATGGATAGCCCCACTGCACAATGATTAGCATGTATCTTTATCTTCAAAAACATGCAGTAAGGGACCAGCCGTAAGGGACGGCAGTACTGTAAACAACATATCATTGTTGACATATTCTAACTGCAAGTGCAGTTAGAATACGCCGCGGCGTACAAAATTAGCATATTCTATCTGCGTTCACTTATTTTTTCATATTCTAACTGTGGGTCCCTTACTGTAATAGGTCTTACATTTTTTCAACCCCCCGGTAGTCTAACCTGACAATGATAAATGCGTGGAATCCTAATTCTTTGTGGGTAAATCCCACCGGGTCACAGTACGTGAAATATCCTTTCAATGGTTCGCAACTGGGTTATAGCTCCTCCAAACTTAAATAACGTATTCCTTCTACCCATGACGCAATGGTTTTTCTATAAGCACACCTGGAAAACCACATGGCTCCCCGCCCCACATGGCTCCCCCATATTTTCATTTGTTCCCACGAAAACCTTGGGGATTCCCCAGGTTGGCGCGCTACATGGACATCCTCCTCCGTGGCGATGGCACTGCACCAGCCACTCAGCTGACTCAGCCGAGTCAGGGAGACCTGCAGTTCTCGCCACCGCGGGTGAACAAAGGGAACAAGGAGGACACAGAGGCTGGGCGGCTGGGTGTGGGTGTGCAACCGCCGGGATTTTCTTGGCGGATTTGGATCGCTTTCTTTGTGATGTCAAAGTGAATTCAAATGGGGGTAAAAAATGGGGCAATTGTTGGCCAAAAACGGGGGATTTGGACAAAACCGGGGGGTTCTTGAGAGGGATGGGTCAAAACTCTTTTCACAAAATCCATCTGAATGGAAGGACGAGCCTGCAGATATGCAACAGCTATTCTGGTGTGAACATGGAGAGACTAGGGTCTTGACCAATATCCACGTCACTTTAACAGTTGGGTATGAAGGAGTTGATGCAACTGGCATGCAACTGGCATGGGATGAAGTTGTGAGCTGTGGCAGGTGCACATCAAACAGGCTCTCCAGTGCTTGGGCGGCAATTTTGATGATGCTTTCATGCTTTCAATATTTTTCCTCCCTGTGATGATTATCTAACTTCATGTGCAACGCCAACAAGAAAACACAGTGGCAAATGGTTTCTCATCCCACTGCACGGTGAATGCTTTGAGTTCACCACATGGTTGACACGAGGATCTTCCGATACCTTGCAGCCAAAGATGCGCCAGGAGCTCAGAGCCCGCGAATTGGATGTGGCTCTAGATCCATGGTCGATCTGACATCTTGGCATATGTACACGCACACACACATGCATATTAAGATGTAAAGAGAGAGAATATATATATATATACATGCACTATATATATATACACTATATACATATATATGTATATAAATTCTCTATATAGATATGTATTTACACTACACACACATATATATATACACATACACTACATACATACACTATATATACATACGCACACTATATATATATATATATATATATGCTACCCCCCCCAAGACCTACATTTTTTGTATTAGGTATGTCCTTGGCTGCCTTGTCTTTCTTCTCATCTTCTCACCTATTGCAACACTGCATCAGGAAAGTAGCTTGTGCGCATGCACCTGGACACATCTCGCCCACATATGTAGCTGTAGCATAGCACATGTGAAGAAACTGACCACGTAGGTGCATGAACACTGAGAGCACCTGGGTGGGTGGGAAAGGATAAGCAATACACTAGACATTTTGTGTACCAGATATGTCCTTGGCTGCCTTGTCTTTCTTCTCATCTTCTCACCTATCGCAACACTGCATCAGGAAAGTAGCTTATGCGCATGCGAGGGGAAGCGATGAAAGCTGAGAACAAGAATGGCACTGGGGCAGTGACAATGGATTGCAAGAATGGAGCAGTGACAATGGATGGCAGGAATTGTATTTATGTCTTTTCCAGCCTAAAGGAATGCATCCAGAATGCATTCTTCCCAATATCTAAGATCCAAGATCTAAGAATTGCGGAGAAGTCTTGTGCAAATCTTGGGTTTGGAATTTGCCAGAATACTCTTACCAATCCCTATGAAAATTCTTTAGGAATCCAAGATTTTGATCATGCATTCTTCCCAAGATCTAAGATCCAAGATCTAAGAATTGCGGAGAAGTCTTGTGCAAATCTTGGGTTTGGAATTTGCCAGAATACTCTTACTAGTCCCTATGAAACTTCTTTAGAAATCCAAGATTTTGATCAAAGTCTTGTGGGAAACTTGGATCTTGGATTTTGAATCTTGCAAAGAATGCATTCAGAATGCATTCTTTCGGCAGGATTCAAGATTCAAGATTTCTAGGGACTCTTTGGAGCAAATCTTGAATCCACCCCCTGGATTCAAGATTCAAGATTCAAGATTCCTGAGGACTCTTTCCAGCAAATCTTGAATCCAGGATTCAAGATTCAAGATTCAAGATTTCTGGGGACTCTTTGGGGCAAATCTTGAATCCAGGATTCAAGATTCAAGATTCAAGATTCCTGAGGACTCTTTCCAGCAAATCTTGAATCCAGGATTCAAGATTCAAGATTTCTGGGGACTCTTTGGGGCAAATCTTGAATCCAGGATTCAAGATTCAAGATTCCTGAGGACTCTTTCCAGCAAATCTTGAATCCAGGATTCAAGATTCAAGATTTGCCCCAAAGAGTCCCCAGAAATCTTGAATCTTGAATCTTGAATCCGGATTCAAGATTTGCCCCAAAGAGTCCCCAGAAATCTTGAATCTTGAACCCTGGATTCAAGATTTGCTGGAAAAAGTCCTCAGGAATCTTGAATCTTGAATCTTGAATCCGGATTCAAGATTTGCTGGAAAGAGTCCCCAGAAATCTTGAATCTTGAATCTTGAATCCTGGATTCTAGATTTGCCCCAAAGAGTCCCCAGAAATCTTGAATCTTGAATCCGGATTCAAGATTTGCCCCAAAGAGTCCCCAGAAATCTTGAATCTTGAATCTTGAATCCGGATTCAAGATTTGCCCCAAAGAGTCCCCAGAAATCTTGAATCTTGAATCTTGAATCCAGGGGGTGGATTCAAGATTTGCCCCAAAGAGTCCTCAGAAATCTTGAATCTTGAATCTTGAATCCTGCCGAAAGAATGCATTCTGAATGCATTCTTTGCAAGATTCAAGATCCAAGATTCCCACAAGGGTTGGATTCAAGGCTTGAATCCTCTATGTATATATATATATATGTATATATACACTATATAACATCCCCCAAATCCCGGAATCCAAAATTACATACCAAAAATAGCAAATTTTACTGTAAATACGAGTACTTTTGTGAAATTGGTAGGTCTTGGGGGGGGGGTACCATATATATATATACATATGCATTCCCAGAATATATATATATATAATAAATATATATATGTATCATATGTAATAGTATAATGTATGTACATTCTATTTATATATGCATGATCCATATTTATCATATCCATATGTGTGATTGCATGTGTGCACGCCAGCCATTGGTTTTCCGCCTCTAGTCGTCAATTTGTGAACCCCTTCGTGGCATTTTGGTCCTGCGCTTAGCTGACAGGTTTGAGGCTTTCTTCAAGAAGGATTTGGCTCGGCGCTTGCTGCTCCAGCGGTCAGCCTGTCGCGAAATGGAGCACTATGCCTCCAGCCTTTTGCGGGAAGAGTGTGGTGCTGCATATACTGCAGGCACCCTGCCTGAGAAGGTGTTGAACTGTTGGCTGATGCTGCTTTAATCTGCTTTATACTTTCTACAATGCTGATAGCATTCGAAGATCTGTGGGCATCCGACCTGGTAGATGTGCGCAACCAAGGAATTGAGGGCATGTTCCAAGACATGGAAATCTCGAAGGTGTTGGCAGAGGTCTTTGACTCGAGCGCTGAAGCGAAGGATATTTTGGAGGACATGGGGCTTTTGACTCTTTGCCCTGGCTGCCAGAGTTGCTTTTATTGTGTAAGAAATTTCACAGGCATACCTCGTAACAAAAATCAGAGATTTCCTTGGAAAACCACGGGGGTTTTCCCATGGGGTCCATGAGTTCCGTCAGGATCTGGGCGTCGACTTCCGCGTCTCCGTGTTGACCACGGGGCGTTGGCCATCGCCACCTCCCAGCTGTGAGATTCAGCTGCCGCTGCCCCTGCAACGGCTCGCGACCGAAGTTTGGGAGGGGGAAATCACTATGGCAACTATGGTTTATGGTATAAACCATAAATGTAGATATAAACCATAACTTAAGCTATAGTTAATGGGGTTTATAAACTGACTTATACCTGCTGGGCCCCATCCTGTAGTTGACTCACTACTTCATCGCTGATTGAATCACTAGGATTGTCCAAAATGGGGTCAAAAGGTATAGCCCAATTCATGGCTACAAAAAGTGGGAAGATTATTAGAATCAAACAACCCCAATCAAAAACCACCGGTAAACTAACCACTGGTAAATTCGTCTTCTTGGGAGTGCAATTCCATTTACCTGGATTTCTCTTACCATAATATACCATATTATACTACCCCAGTTATTTCATGTTATATATGGGATATCCCCGGTTTCATATGGGTTTTTTCTGATCTTGCAGGACCTGTTTCGCCTCTTTCTATGTTCAGCAGCACCGTGGTCGCTCCCTTCGCTGGTGCCCTGCCTGGGGCCAGTGTCTTCTCCGAGCGAACGCGAACACTTCGCGGAAGGAGCTGGTGGTTTCTCACTTCCAGGCCGAGAGTATTTGTTGGGAGGATTGAGGGTTGGGTACAGGACGGGGCCCCCAAGATAGCGTTCAGTTGCCTAAAAAAAGCGGCTGAATTCTATGTTTTTGGTAGATACAACTATAGTTAATGGGGATCATCAACTAACTTATAACTGGGGGGCCCATCCTGTAAAGATGGGTAAAGTGCAAACATGAAGAGCAACTACATGGCCACATACATGTATAGACTGTATAGATACAGACATGTACACGCAGACAACCACAAATACCTACATTCATACGTACGTACCCATGTGCACACAACATAAAATAACATAAGATAACATAACATAACATAAGATAACACAACATACACTAAGATAAGATTACATTACGTTACACCACATCGTTACATCACATTGCATTACATTGCATTGCATTATATTACATTACATCACATTACATTACTTTTCAGTGGATCGCATTACATTGCATTGCATTGCACTACATTACATTATATTACATTACATGACATCAAATTCCATTACGTTACGCTACATCACATGCACAATGTATACTGCATATATATATATATTTATGCATGTAATGTGATGTGATGTAATGCAATGCAATGTAACGCAATGCAATGCAATGCAATGCAATGCAATGTAATGTAATGTAATGTATGTATATCATGCATATAGGTTACATAATGCATGTACTCTTTCTCCATCAGTGATTTGATTAGAGCTGTCAAGCAGCACTGGGAGGCGCTGGTCCTCTTGTGTTTTAACACCGCAGACCAGCTGAGCTACGAAGAGATTTGCAAGGCCACCCAGATCCCCGACACGGAGCTGCAGTTGACGCTGCAGAGCTTGTCACTGCACAAGACGGTGAAATTGTTGCTGCAACTCAGCTGCAGGTGATCAATGAACAGTTGTGATTGTCCTGTCATGAACTAAGTATATGGTTATAGGTAGAGATTCTAAGGATTTTTAAGGTTGGTCCCCAATCCAGGGTCCAATTGCTCCAATACCGATATCTCGGACAACTTAGGAAAGGCTCGAAGGAGCGACAAATACGGCCTGGGGAGACGTTCTCGTACAATTCGGCCTTCACTCACAAGCTGTACCGGATCACGGTGTCGCAAATCTCACCGAAGGAGTTCTGGCTGTTTGGGGCACTGGTATACCCTTTCCTCGTTATATACATTCCTGGCGACAGGAAAGGTCAGCCTCTCAAAGAGCTGGCAAGATCCCCCAGAAAACCCAGGAACACCAGAGAGGAACCAAGAAGATCAATAATAGTTTCCAAGACACAAAAGATGTTGCTCCGTTCTACATTCAGCAACCACGATTTAAGAACGCTTGAGTGCAGAGATGTGCCACTGGCAGGCCATGGCTTCAAAGGATCATGAAGGGATAGGAAGCACCAACCAGACAGCAGATTAATTGCCCACTTCGGACCTTTGCATGCAGACAAGTTACTCCTCCGGAAACTAAGCCATTCAGCAAGGAGCAACTGCAGGAAGAGGATGCTGTGGAGCAAAGACTTGTAGGCCCAAGAGGGAAGGGCTTGGTTTACATAATAAATGGATAAATAAATAATTAAGTGAATGAATGAATAATTACAGTATGCATTTCTATTTATATGCTCATGTTTATATTTATATTTATATGCATACTATCTATATGTGTTTACCGTTTTCTGTCCATTTGCAAAGGGTTGGTGAGAACCACATTCTTCATGTGGCATCCAAATTTACCATTAGAACAGCTCCAGGTAGCCGGGTGCACGAGCTCGATGCGGTGGTGATTCGCATCATGTCCTTCAGCTGCAGGCTTCAGGGCCGCTGATGAGGGGTTCAAGCTGCATCCATGGACAATGACAGCCTCAGTTTTCCCCTTCTATCGCCTACTTTGGAGGCATTTTTCTACCCCCCCACAGCCCCCCAAAAAAGAACACAACAATTGATCCCAACAGGGTTGCTGGCGGTAAATGGGTCATGCCACCATTTTTTTTGGCCCGGGTTTAGTATCTGGGGGCAGGGAGCTGCCCTAAGGAAGATCAAGAAAAAGATGATCCACCAAGAGCTGATCTCAGAGGTGTTGATGACCCTGCGCTTCCCAGCAGAAGCAGCTGACATTAAGCGGCGGATCGAGTCGTTGATTGAGCGCGAGTGACTCGTTGGCAGGATCCCTTGTAGGAAATGTTTGAGATCGGTTGCAGTGATATCTGAAAAAGGGGACATGGAGCACCCAGCTGGCATGGACCAGTTTGTGACAGAACTCGCATGAACTGGCTTTACACTTTATACTTTTTTTTTCTTTGATCCATGTCATCCTTGGTTCTTGGTGAGGATCCCCTTGGCCCAAGGTGCTTGGAGCGGCATCCCCCAAACGAACAGGGAGTGACCTGCTACACCTACTTGGCATGAGATTGGCCCTGGCCTTGTGGCCTTGTGGGTTCTACAGCTTCCTCTTCCAACAAGTCATGGGTTTGGTCCACTGGTGTCCTTTCCCGGAATGGCTTCTTGAAGTTGTTGCAGTTCGAAAGCACCAAAGCAGTGCCCAGTGCTGTGGGATATGCCAAGCCTCAGTTCAGAAAAGATTCTTCTTTGCCAAAAGACTGGTTTGAATGGCTTGGTTCATGGGAAACCCACGGAAAAGCTGCAGGTCTTGTCTTTGATGTTTTCTCCATTCTTTTGCCATCAAATTGGGGCAAAAAACCGCCTGCGGAGGCGATGGGAGACTCGCAAGTAACTGGGGCCAAAAGCTCAGGAGTGCAATCGTCCAGCTGACGGTGAATGATTTTAGCAGGGATATCTTGGGATATAACTATATACCATATATTTGTTCACACACACACACATATATATATATATATAAACATATGCGTAGGTACCAACATGTACCAACCATTTGCCGCCCTTCAGTTCGTTCCTCTCAGTCTTTAGCAGGGCATCCCCGAATCGACTGCTAGGTCCTGGACATGGAGCCTCCAGGCTCTTGCAGCCACTTGTGCTGCCTGGACTCGGACAGTTCTGACCTCAGTTTGGGATGAACGCCGAAGTCACCGTTGGAACATGCTTCGCCAAAGATCTACACTCAGTGATCAGCAGGTCAGTTGGTGGTCCTTTGTGGCGAGAAGGAGCTCTTGTTGTTTCAGCCCGGGCCATTGGGGCCATTGGAAGACCCTGAAGAGGCGCTGGATTTCGCGGATACTCAGCAGGTGCAGCGGTTGTTGGCGATGGCATCTCCGTGGCACGTGCTGCTCCGCAGAGGCCGCTGGGGAGGATTTTTTAAAATTATGATAATAGATATCTAATAAGTTGAACGAGGCGTTTGATTCATTTTTATGGGACGTTTACCACCGCAGTTGAAGGGTTTTACGTTTCACCCTCAAAATCTTTTCTGGTTGAACATAGGGGTTGAAAGCAGTCTTGAACAGTTTTACATCCAAGAATCTTGTAAGCCCACTTTTAGTGGACTTGACAAAAGAACACGTCGGTAAGGTTTAGAATCTAGAAGAACCTGGATTCTTTGGATCCCAATGATACTATGCATGCAATATCCCTTGTTAGTCATGGGCTATGCTATATATATATATATGGATTAAACCACTGGATCTTAGAGTTTCCCCATCAATGTTCAGACAAAGCCAACCCGGTTGGGAGGTGATGCGCTCCTGGTGCCCAGCGGCTGGCGGATTGCTTGGAGGACGTTGGCAGCCAGCATCACCTTGAGGCAATCTGCTTCTACTGGACATCAATCTGCCTGATTTTGTTGCTGAAAACTATAGGGATTTGTCGGAAAATCAGGTACATCAAAATCCAATGGTTTGTCATTTTCCCATTAAAGGGACTATTTTTGGGGTACTGTAACCAACCTTTTCAGACACACCTATAGATGTTGAGGGTTTTGGGGTCCTACAACTGCCATGGCCTGTGGTGCCCAGGCAGAAGATCACGTCCCGCAGCAATGTATTGCGGGCCAGCCGCTGCAGAGCCAGAGGAAGAGGCCTGGGGGTGCGGGCCCCACGTTTCGTGAAAGGGTCACCCCAGTTAGATTGAATATTCCCACTGGATCATATAGCGTTTACATATGAATGATTATAAACCACCTATTCTAAGCGGGATGCACGTCCAAGTAGGAATCTAGGCCATGCTGCCACTGAAGACTCCTGATGTCAGGTGTGGCCCCAAGATGCACAGCGCAGTGCCAACGTCAAGTGTGGTGACCTCAAACACTGCTGACGCCGCTCACAGACACTGAAGCCGATCTTCATCCTTGTCAAAGAAAGTTTGGATGTCTAAACTCCGTGTTACTAATTTTTGAAAACCACCACCATCACCACCACATCACCATCACCACAATCACCACCATCATCACCACATCACCACATCACCACATCACCACATTACCATATCAACATATCACCACATCACCGCAAAGTCAAAAAGTCAAACAGTGTTCGACTTTTTGACTTTTCAACTTCTTCCTTTAGTCATTCTAGCACCTTTTGACTTTTCTTCTTCGACATGTCACCTGGGGATGTTGCAAAAGGAACCTAGACTATATGCGGTCCGACATGAACATGAAAATATGAAGGCATATTCAATGAGAGGAAAAATGAACTGATAAACTCCTGGCAAACCCATGCAAACCCCAAAAAACCCTTGCCTGTGGGGCTCCAAATCACAAGTTCTCGCGCTCCACAATACCTAGTATCAAGCAACCAACAATAACAACACAAAGGCATTGTTTGTTCGGTTTCAATCTCAAGATCTAGCACCTATGCATCACCGATGCGAGCCACTCGAAACCAGAATGGAACATATAAACTGAAAACCTAGCTGCTGTGAGATTACACAACAATATCAACAGAGTGAGCAAGGGCTAGGAGTGTTCACAACAAACGGAAACATCAAACACGTTTGACTTTTGGACAGAACGTTTTCTTTTGAGGTCAGGTCAACCAGTTTTCGACAGTTCGACCAAAAAATAATTTTTGATTTCGACTTTTCAACTTTTCGACTTCTGGAGTTATTTTTCCACAATTTTCACGTTAGAACCAAGTTCAGCCGGGCAAATCGAATTTTAACCTTGCGACAGGGTGTACCCAACGTCTGAGGTGGGCATCTCGTGTCCGAATCACGGCTGTGGATTAGCGCCCAAAAAAGGTGAGGATTGGCAGCTGCGGCGGTTGAGGATTCCAGTGACTAGTGCCATCAATAGCTCAATAAAGATCAACAAGGGCCATGATATCATGAAAATTCATGAAACACCTTAGAGACACCATGAAACACCTCGAAAGTTGGAGGGAACAAACTAGTTTCGATTCATTCTTGCCTGCAATTTTTCTTGGACTATGCGAATTCATGGGCATTTCTGGAAGGGGTGGCGTAGCCATTTGGCACTGATTTTCGATGGCAGCCATTGCGGCGTTGCCGCATCTGGTGCTTCATGGACCGCCTGTGGGAGGCTGGACCTGGAGTCCTCACCTGGTAGTTGTTCATGACATTGGGTGTGCCACATGAGCCTATTTTTTTTCCCCATAAATGGGGGTGCATATACATAATCGGTATACTTCCCGGACTTTTTGCAACGCACATGTTTTGGCAGGGTGCCCAGGATGGTGCACGTGGGTCTTGAATTGGGGCATGGTTGATTTAAGCCTGTGACTGATTGGGTAGGGGTCAAGTTCAAAATTCGAGAAGGCGATGGAGAGAGAGAGGTTCAAAATTGAAGACCCTGTGAACCACAGATTTTTTATTTATCATCCATTTGTGTGGTTCGCTGGACCCTAATTTTGATCCATACTTGCCCTGGGCTGGATTTTTCTGCATGTTGGATGTTGCCATTTGGTTGAATTTAGGCAAACTTCACAGTTTTAAGTTTACTGATTCCTTTTTCAACGGATTGCAGGAAGATAGGGTTCCAACCCTCCAATACTCTTCAATATAGGGAATTTACAGTGCATGTTTCACTCATACGGAATACGTCGCTTTTCCGGCTGCTTCATCGGTCCCTGGCCAAGGTCCATTTGGCCACTGGCAGCGCGTCCAGTGCTCATCGCCTAGCCAGCTTTGCGCTGCCAGCGCTGTCAGCGCTGTCCTACTGGGCTTAGGAAAGAGGTTGGCCAGGCCTTGGATGGCCACTGCCTGAAGTCAAGGGTCCAGAAATGGTTTGAACAGATCCCAATCAATGGCGATTTTCATGGGAACATATGGGAACATTGATTTTCGAAACCATGGGATTTTGGGGTACTCTGTAAACAAAGCGAGTTGGAACAGGTGATGTGACGCAGTTCAAAAAAAAACTTGGATCATCTCGTTTGAGGGATAGATGACACATAAATTACTTGCATGCACACTATGCCAATTATGTCATTGACGACTGGGATCTTCCCGGCCTGACCAGGACAAAAACGACGCCTTGGGACCGTCGGAGTGTTCGAGCTGTTCGAGCTGTTCGCGCTGGGCAGCTTGGAGTGGAAGTTTTCTCGGCCGAACACCGGCCGGGAGTTCCGCCATTCTACTGCGCTTGTTGCCGACTGCACCTCGGACCTTGGAGATCCATGGAGATGTGAGGGGCCCTTTTTTGGACCGTTGATATGGGCCATGGTTTATCCTGCTTTTAAATAGGAAGAAAACTAAGAATTCCCAGTTATATCCAGTTATAACTTGTGTTGCCATTCACATCTAAAAATAGTGCCCATCAATATGGGAAACATGGAGGATTCTGCGCCAATCATCAACAGAGGACAACTCCGATGCGTAAATGACATGCATACAGCATACATACATACATACATACCTACCTACCTACCTACCTACATACATACATACATACAGTTACATACAGTTACATACAGTTACATACAGTTACATACAGTTACATACAGTTACATACAGTTACATACAGTTACATACAGTTACATACAGTTACATACAGTTACATACAGTTACATACAGTTACATACATTACATACAGTTACATACAGTACAGTACATTACATACAGTACAGTACATTACATACAGTTACATACATACATACAGTTACATACATACATTACAGTTACATACATTACATACAGTACATACAGTTACATACAGTACATACAGTTACATACAGTTACATACAGTTACATACAGTTACATACATACAGTTACATACAGTTACATACATACAGTTACATACAGTTACATACAGTTACATACATACATACATACATACATACACACATACATACACACATACATACATACAGTACATACAGTACATACATACATACAGTTACATACAGTTACATTACAGTTACATACAGTTACATACAGTTACATACAGTTACATAAGTTACATACAGTTACATACAGTTATACAGTTACATACAGTTACATACAGTTACATACAGTTACATACAGTTACATACAGTTACATACAGTTACATACAGTTACATACAGTTACATACAGTTACATACAGACAGTTACTACAGTTACACCAGTTACAGTACAGTTACATTACAGACAGTTACATACAGTTACATACAGTTACATACAGTTACATACAGTTACATACAGTTACATACAGTTACATACAGTTACATACAGTTACATACAGTTACATACAGTTACATAACAGTTACATACAGTTACATACAGTTACATACAGTTACATACAGTTACATACAGTACATACAGCTACAGTTACATACAGTTACATACAGTTACACAGTTACATCAGTTACATACAGTTACATACAGTTACATACAGTACATGTTACATACAGTTACATACATACATACCATGCCATGCCATGCCATGCCATGCCATGCCATGCCATGCCAGACCAGACCAGACCAGACCAGACAGACCAGACAGACGAGACAGACCAGACAGACAGACAGACAGACAGACAGACATCCATACATACATTTATACGTTTATACATTTCTCTGAAAATGGCATCATGGTGTCGCCCAATGACAGTCAGATCCCCTGCCGACTTTTCCAGGACGTGCACGAGCGAGAAATCACTGCAGCAACACTTGAGATCAAAGCGACATCTCAAGAACATCCGGCGCCAGCAAGTGGGTCCTCCGCCACCCATGAAGTTGCCAAAGAAAAGAGCTAAAAAGTCACCAGAAGCTATGGCCAAGAAGAGACTCTGCTAAATCAAGGCTGTTGTGAGACCTGATTTGGATTCAATCTCTTCGGAGGTTTCCCGAAATGGGGGTTAATTACCCCAAATCATCCAAGTCATGACCCATTTTAGTATTGAAACCCATGGTTTGTGAGGATCCCACATTTGAAGAAACCTCCATGGGGGGCGGGACCCTTTCATCCAGCCAGCCACTGCTACGATGTGGAAAGCCCCAAGGGCCTGGAGAAGGCTGATCCGCTCCGAGAATTTTGAGAAACTCTTCGCGGAGGCGCCGGGTGGTAGACTACTCCGAGGACGATGTCTATTTTTTATATTAGTTGGTTTAGATCACGTCACAATAACTGTTGGGTTTACGGGGGGTATATTATTTTATATCATGTTAATTCATATTAGATCTATAGTTGGATGGGGTAACCAGCGCTTAAGGGGACGGCCCAAATGTGGGGCGCCCTGCAGGCTTTCAAAGATCCTGCCTTTCCACGTGACCGTCTGGTGGAGCTTTTGAAATTGGTGGCGGCCAAGGGTGGGGCGACTGAACTTGCGGACGTTTTACAGCTGGTCACCAAGGTCGAGGCTCATGGGAGATGAATCAATGGGAAAACACACGCACACACATATATATATATATTTACATATGAGAATGAGTATGATTATGATTATGATTCATGATTATGATGATGATGATGATTAATCTATTGCCATAGACGTCCTGGTCCCAGTGGCCCAAAAAAGATAGATAACCCCTCATTGAAGAACTGAACGATAATAGATAGGTAGTAAGAGTGTGATATTTTTCAGGGAGGTCTCTGCGTCTCTGCACTCTGCAAGAGTGAACACTAGCCTGATCATTCTGGTGCTGTGCCCTTGCCAATCTTCACTGATTACTGTTTCAGCACAGTAGGAAACCCAAATTGAAGATGTATTATGGATGTCTCCCCTTATAAATTACTTTAAATAAACCCTGGTCAGTTGATTGGGTGGAGGGGTCACCTCAAAAACAAAGCGAGGCCTGGCTGTGAACATGGACCTCCCTCAATGAAGCAATCAGGGAGTTTATTGATCCGGGGCTGACACTCCTTGTATGTCTCAAATGTTCTGACCCCCGCCATTTGAGCAAATACTTCCATACTCATTAAATCCTATTAAACCCAGGGTTTTGAAATTCAGTCATTTGGGGATCCCGCACTGGTGGCTTCCTTCTGGTATAAAAGTTGGGATGGGGATACAACCCCTGCTCTGCATGTCAAAAACCTGGCCCTGGAAAGCCTGGTTTAGTACTGAATCTATTCCTTTCCCAAACTCCAGCCGCTCCAACCCCCGAAATCTGGGATTATGGATTCCCAAAGTGACAAACAAATCATGTGGATGGGATTCCATCAAAAACACTGAACATTTG